TTACACTTATCTATTTTGAAATTACCTTGATCGGAATGTACTTTGATCAGTTATAAAACGACTCTTATCAAGCGGATTATTATATCTATACCAATTAAATGATATTGGATAGGATGATTGAACTTGACATTCCAAAATAACTGTACTACCACCATTTTCTGTTATATTTTTTAATGTTTTTATCCATTTCATATTTGTCGAAGTGAGTAAATTTGTTTGAATAGTACTGAAAGAAAACGAACATATATATATATGAATCTGATTGATGATTTTCTTGCTTTAGGCGGAAACAAAAATCTAAATGACTAAATACATTTAAATGCCATTATCATCATTAGATGAGATACTTTCGATAGAGATCTCATTCTCATCAATCTTAGTTTTTATAAATATATATGCATATGCGTCTTTACTCTATTGATTAGGTAAGCAAGCCCTAAGCATATTTTTTTACGTGATTGAACAGACATTATGTTGTTTCCTTGTACTTATATGATTAGAACACGCATGAGACAATTCATGTTTCTTATTGACAGATATATATGTATACGTAATATTTCTCTCGTTTATCCGATTGTCAGGCTTCTTATACATGTGAGTCTCCACCCAAAGATCAACAATGTATATATATATATATATAATACCTTAAAGTCGTTTGATTGACAATTGTGTTTGCTACTTGTGCTTGACGTAAATCATTATTAGTTGGTGACAGATCGACAAACGATATAAATCCAATAATAATAAAAAGAAGAAGAAGGCGAGAGCAAAAAAAGCCTAAAGAAAAATAATATATTAGATAGGTGATAACTCGTTGTTATTCTTCTTTCTGGCTCATTGCTTCTAACACAGACACTGAGAAAAGTATAGATACGAAGTGTGGAAAAGGAAGCTGTAAATATGCACTTGGCACCCATGATTATAATGCCACACAAGAAATCAATCTGTTGTCTAAACATTGCGCCTGATCAACACATGTAAACAGTCATATACGTTCTATACACTTTCCAATATGCTACTAGTACTCATCGTCTACAAGTGTTTGGTAAGCAGCGGGTGTGCCTTAAATAAATAGCAAGATACGAATGCGTCAAGAGTTTCAAGCCTCTTCATATAAGGGGCAAACAAAAATCATTAACGCATTTCGATAGTACAAATGATAATAGTGTTATATGTAAATATATATATATTGAATAAGTACTCTTTTCTATTGAAAAATAATCATTACTTGAAATTCTAACAATAACAATTGAATAAGAAATAGTTCTCATCTCAAATTCTCTTCTTCTTTTTTTCTTCTTCTACTTACTCGACATTAGATATCTGTCCTTCGATTTGATAAGAAATAAGAATTACAAGTCAAAAGATGTGCATATCTTATTGAGAGAAATATAATAATGATTAATAGAAGAAGTCTTCTTCTTCTTGTTTCAATATATGATGGGGACATGAAAATGTCAAGGCTTATGTTTCTTTCTATACATATCTGTATAATTTCCAATTGTTAAATGACTTACCAGATATATTGATCAACATTAGTTTTGAATTATTGAGACAATAATAGAATGAAGCAAAAAAAACGAAAGTGAAGTTTTTTTCTTGTTTTACTGTGACTAAATGATTGTCAACTGGAACGATAATTAACACATTGAACAATTTTCATCGATCTAAAATGATACGAATTTTAATATTGTAGATCTAAATCAATCGTTCTTTTTTTTCACATATACGAAAGTATATGCAATCCATGATGTGACACATACAACTCTGCAAGATGCCGCGCACAAGAGAGAGAGAGAAGGAGAAAGCGAATGCATGCTTTATCGTCATCGCTCGTTGGCTATATGAGACGTTCTCTTGTTCGCTCTCTTTCTCTTTTTCTCTCTATGTACAATTACTGTATGTAAGGTCATCTTGTCAAACTGGCATGAAATAAGAGAAAAAAAAAAGAAAAGACTAGTTCAATTCATCTATATTCCATGAAATAGTTTAGTACTGTAAGCCTTCTTCTATTCATATTGATGAATTTATAAATTATTCGATTCTTTTATTTGACTAAAAGATAATAGTGTTTTATAAACTTTTGAATTATGCGAATACATATACCAATTTTAAGAAATGAAATTAAAAAAAAACAAAATAGAAAGATTTCATTTACAATTATCATAATCTAGTCTATAACAAAAAACTGATTGTATGATGATGAAGTAGAAGAGAAAAAATGTATAAGATAAATATGTTTATATCAATAAATGAGAGTTAGTTTTTCTAATTGTCTGATCATGATAGACATGCAGACATTTCATATAAGATACTGACGACGCCGGTTCAATTCTTTTTCTTCTTATCTTTCACTAACATTAATATATATATATACACATATACTCTCTTCGCTACGGCTTTGTTTATTATGGGAACATTATTAACACTTATCAAACTCAACTATAGCGGCAAAATTTTGAGCAATTGTCATATATTGAACATGTCTGTGAGAACAATAAACTGTTTTCTATCGAGCGGCTTTTATAGAAGTTACAAAAAAGAAAAACAACAAATTGTACTTCAAAGAATAATGCTTAAAAAGAATTAACTTACCAATTTAGCATTTTTTATAGTGACCTTCATTTTATACCTTATCGAATTTGTAGGGTTGAAGAGGAAAAATAATGGGTTGATCTAAACCAGACGGTCAACTTCAACTTGTCAAGCGCTCAGCGACTTTTTACAGTTGCCATATGAATATACATACATACATACATACATACATATATATATATAAATGTAAAGAAACAAAAACGCGATGTATTCACTGAACAGAATACGCGTGCACGTGTCGTTCATTCATTGTATTTTAACTCATCACATATATATAGCATGTCATCTTACAATCATTTTAACTACTACTTCTATTATTATTGTTGTTGTTACTTTCTTACCTGTATATATGTATATGATTTGATATCATTCAGATGAAGAAAAAAAAGAGAGAGAGAAGTAAAGTGAGCTCATGTATAAAATGAAAAGAAACAAGTGAATATCGTTGAAGATAAATGAAAGTGTTATGTAGTATCTAATCATCCCTATTGATCGATTTCAATAATCGATTCAGTCTGCATCGTTCAAAATGATTGCGTGGTACGATATATATGTCAAGTGGTACGACCTACACACCCTTGTATAGTGTCTCGAGATGATGATATGGTGTTGATGGTATCAAGTCTTTTTTTTTCTCTCTCTCGCTCGGTGTATTGTCCGTATATATATATAGTATTATTATTGTTAGACGCGTAGACTATTTAATGATGCTCGAAGGAGTTTCTTTTTTTTCTGTGTTTTTTGATTGAAATGAAAAAGCTGTGAGAATCGGCTTTCTCTTCTTTCTCAATGTATTATATCAATAATCCATTTTCACACACATATTATCGTACAAGGAATTTGTCATCAGCTTTAAAAAAAACAACAACAATATTATTAATTTTCTTTTTTTTTTTTTGCAATAACAATTTATTTCTCACCTTAATATACTGTCACTAAATAGAATATTAATGAATCTAACGATATTATGTAAGTTGAACATACTGATGATAACACATATGTCGATTTTTATCATACAGAGCAAAAAGATGTGTATACATATATATTGAACCATTTATATGTAATAGTCTCTGGAGATAAAAAGAAGGAATGAGAAAGCTGCTTAAATAAACGTTCTGTTTGATTCATATTTTGTTTGTCTTGTCTATATTCATTGTTAGTCTATCTAGATATAGTCATAGATGATATGCAAGGCAAAACTTGTTCAATCACAAGATGTGTCAGCAATCATCTTCGTCATTATGATTTGATCATCACTCTATCGCCGCGATGTGACTTGTCAGTACGATGTTATTAAAAATATTCGATTCATATAGCTCATCAATCGTACTGATCAATTTTCTCTTTCTTCTTCTTCTTCGTTTCTTTTTTCATGTTAGTATGTTCATGACAGGTCACTATTTTTCTTCATCACAATTGAACTTGTCTTAACTCTATGGTTGATTTTTGAAAAATCTTCTTTTTTTTTCTTATTTTGTTTATTTAATCTAAGTAAAAAAAACAATGTTAAATGAAGAAAAAAAATTTTCTTCTCAGTTGCCCTCAAGGGTTAAATATTAGTCTTATCATTTGTCAAATTAAGGCAACAGATGTTGGCTCGCGAAAGTGATGGGTGAGTCTCTTTGCAACAGACGACCGACAAGTTAAGTACTCATGTCGCTTTGTTTCTTGTTCGTTGGTTAGACAGCTGCATAAAGACCAACTTCAATTGATGCATGTTCAGAACTAATATAACTCCTCACTAATTCAATCATTTCATAGAATTCAAAATCATCACTATAATTATTGTACACTTTTGTTTTCAACTTTCTTTTGTCGAATAATAATGTCTACATACATATACATAACACTTATATGATCACATGAATAAAGATGCATTTGCCGCTCATTTATCGCCTGCTGAGCAAAAATAATTCAGACATACGTTAAGAAAAGCACACCATAATCAGAGTATTCTAGTCAATGTGATTATGATAATTTAGAAAATGCATTCATCAATACTCCCGGAGGAAAAAAATATTTCCGACAATGTTTTCTTTAACTAAAGATTGCTTTAAAAGAGCATGTTATACAAATATACAAGCTAAAAAAAAATTTTTTTCTAATCAATTCTATGTTCTGTATTCTAGCGAAGCCATTCATCATCGCGTTTTTTTATTGATTCATAATTTTAAGCAATAAAGAACAGAAGAAAGAAAGTATGCCATTATTGTTGTATGATATAGCAACGAGACATTAACCAGTTAATTTATTATTGGTGATATAATACCAACAAGAAATCATCTATTTATTATTGTTTGTTATTATGACTGACGAAAAGATCCTATTTGAAGCTTTATCATCATCAGATTTCAAAGTATCTATACATGATAAGAAACGAACAGATGCTGAAGAAATAAAAACTGTTATAGAAAATAAACAACAACTTGGTGAAGAACCGAATCTAGAAGCTTCTAATGATGATAAACAATCACTTTTATCCATCGTAAAAAATATGTCAACAGAACAACGTAAAAATATTATTGAATTATTCAAACAAAATGGTTTAGATGATCCATTAACAAAAGAAAAACTTGTTCAAAATGCTTTTACTGTAGATAAAATTATTCGAGACAATGCTTAAAATTGATTTTGTTTTCGTTTGTTATTCTATATTTAATTAGTAGTATAAATGTTTATTATACCAATAGAGTATTGTTCACGTAGAAAAATCAAAACATACTATTGTCTGATAATGCTAATTTATGTGATGAAGTAGAAATGATATCGTTAGTACGCTAGATAATCAACATGCTTTAATAGTAGGAGGAATATTAAGCGTTAACTGAACTAGAAAAGTACAATTTGTAATTAATATTCCTTACAAAGAGAATATACGTTTTGTACAGACGAATTTCATTATAGAATCTTTATTTTTCTTAGGTAACATCATATTTATATATTATAAAAATATCAACAATAAAAAGCTGTTTATATATTCTTATACAATTAAAAGACATAGTTTATCTCTTGCTTTGAACAATTACGTATACGTATAAGATAAATTTTTTGCACAATTCTGTATGTTATAGTTATCTGTAACTATGATTATGACAGGGTTTATAATTTGTTTCGAGAAGAATGTGTCAGAAGTGCAAAATTTAATTGTATAAACTTTTGTTACGTTATTCATTGTTATAATCATCATTAGCAAGTCATTATTTCTCTAAAATGTGTCCTAATATTATTAATTTATTCTCCTTCGATACTTTTCACACGTTCGCATTGGATTTAAACACTTGCACGTAACAAATAGTACATTTGAAATGTACCCAGACAGATAAGAATTTGAAGAATGTGTTTAAACGCATAGTGAAGAGCCGCGATAGTGAATTATCACTTTCATAGTATTAAAACGGTGAAAAATTTCTATTGTTAGCTTTAAAACGTGTCTATGTGTTTAAACGTATTTGTTCAATTCTTGTCTACCGGAGTTTTCTATAAAACCAAAGCGCTTTTGAATACTCTTCTATATTGTCATATATGTCATCGATGCTGTTACAGAAAAAATTGTTTTTTTTCGAATCTGAAGTGCCTTTTCATAAAGCGATAGACGTGAGTATGAATATGGGATTATTGTACTCACTCTTCATTCACACTCAATATATATCCACACCCACACACCTTCAACAACATTCTATCTAGACGACCATCTGTCTATACAACGATTTTTATCCACAATTATATGTTTGTGATGAAATATCGTACGATCAAACATTTTAGTGTCAACTGTATTGAACATGATTTAATTTATTCTGTTGAGAAACACTTCGATACAATAGTAATATTTAATCATTTATCTTCTTTGTACGATATTGCTTTCGTTCAAATACGTCTTCTTTATTTTTACAACCTTACAAATTTCAACACTTTCTCAAAATATACATAGATTGTACTATTTGGTTACTATAAAATCATATTATATCTTCATCGTTTTTTACTTTTCACTAAATTCATTCTGAAAAGAATAAGAAACTGATTAGGATATCTAGAGATTACTAAATCGAAATAGTAATTGTTGATATATATTAGAAAAAAAGATTTTCGAAGAAGAACTGTTTGAAAGTGAAGTTTATAGTGGAGATTGAAAACTTTCATTTTCGGTTACGGCCATACCA